GCCACTGTGTCAATCCATCTCGTTGAGGGTCTTCCTCTTTTTTGCTGACCCTCTACCAGTAGTGAAGAGGCTTTACCTCAGCTGCATCCACTTCTTGCCGCCCCCTTCCACTTCTGGGCCCCCTGAATTAGGGCCTTTGGCCCCACTGTTCCTGAGTGACCTGGGTGACTGTGGCATGTAGCTGAGAATCTATCTCCAGATGCAAAGTCGAGTCCAGTGTTTGAGGCATTGAGCCGACACTGATTGGCTGGCTGTATGCCTGTCTTGGTCTCCTAGCGCTGTTATAACAGAAATACCACAAGTGGGTGGCTTTAACAAACAGAAATTTATTTTCTCACAGTTAGGAGGCTAGAAGTCTGTATTCAGGGCACCGGCTCTAGGGGAAGGCTTTCTCTCTCTGTCAGCTCGGGAGAAAGGTCCTTGTCTCTTTTCAGCTTTTATTCCTCAGTTCCTTGGTGATCTCCAGGTGGCATCAGTCTTGCCCAGTTTGTGCTTCTTGCTTCTGTGCCTAAGCTGCTCCTTTTATATCCCAAGAGTGATTGGTTTAAGACACTCCCTACACTGATATAGCTTCATTAACATAACTAAGAAAACCCTGTTCCCAACCAAAAGCCAAAACCAAACCTGTTGTCATCAAGTCAACTTGGACTCATAGCAGCCCTGTAGGACAGAGTAGAACCACCCCATAGGGCTTCCAAGGAGCAGCTGGTGGATTCCAACTGCCAACCTTTTGGTAGGCAGCCAACCTCTTAATCACTGTGCCACCAGGGCTCCAACCCTATTCCCAGATGGGATTATATCAACAGGTACAAGAGTTTGGGATTTACAACACATATTTTTGGGGAACACTGGCGCAGTGGTTAAGAATTTGGCTGCTAACCAAAAGGTCAGCACTTTGAATCCACCAGCTGCTCCTTGGAAACCCTATGGAGCGGTTCTCCTCTGTCCTATAGGGTCGCTATGAGTCGGAGTTGACTCAGTCAGCAATGGGTTTGGTTTGTTTTTTTGTATTCAGTTCGTAACAATGACCTTGGGCAAGATTCTCAACCACTCCGAGCGCTGTCAGATAGGGGTCATTTCCTCTGTAGACTCTGAAGAACTGAAGGGATTTGAGGAGGTCTGTCTGACCCAGTTAGAAGACTTTTGCCCTCTCCTCCTCTTACCTCCTCCTCCTCCCTCTTCCCTTCTCCTTTTGCTCTTCCTCCTCTTCTCTGCCTGCTCCCCATCATCTCCACCACTCTGTGGTGTGGGTTCTATTATTATCCTCCCTTTCAAGAGGAGGCATTTGAGGCTCAGAAAGGTGGAGTAACTGGCCCAGTGTTGCCCAGCCAGGTGTTTCTAGCTTCAGAACTGGGCTTTGCAGAGCTGACCTACACTGCTCCCCCTTCAATCTCTCCTCTCGCCACTCATCCATCATCAGCTCCTCCTACTGAAAGTGTCCCAAATCCTCTAGCAACTTCTCTCCCTGTCCCCTGCCACCCCCTGGCCAAGACCCCATCATTTCTGGCCCGGCAACTGCAGCTGCCTCCTTGCCTGCTCACAGGCCCCCAGCCCCCACTCCTGTGTTCTTTGGTCTGGTCTGCACACTGGAGCCAGCAAAGTGAGCCTTTTAAAAGGTAAATCAGACCACATCTCTCCCTGAAGCTTCCCATTGTGGGTGAGATTAATCCCAATTCCCTTGCACACCTCTAAGGCCCTGCGCTATCCCATCTCAGCTGCCCTCATCTCTTCCTTCTTGCCCACCAAGCTCCAGTCTCACTGGCTTCTCTCGGTTTCCTGAACATGCCAAGCTGGCTCCTGCCCCACAGCCTCTGCATTTGCTGGTTCTGTGGCTGGAACACCCTTCTGGTGACATATTTTATTCCTGCCTCTTCTTCTCCTTCAGGTCTCAGTTCAGACATCACCCCCTCAGACTGTACTACCTAACATTACCATACCCAGCCACTCTCCACCACATCGCTCCATCTGTTTTCCTAGCCCCTGTGGTCTCTGAAGGCATTTTGCTTAATCAGTAGCTCACTTGTTTATTACCTGTCTCTCCCAGTGGAATGTGAGATCCATAGCGGTGGGACCTTGTCCTTTTGTTCCCCGTGTGTTCCTAGAGCCTAGCACAGCGCCTGGCACTTCGTAGGTGTTCAATAAATACTTGTTGAATGAATAAAGCTCTCGCTAGCCCTGACTTCTCTTTCAAGCTTGGAACAGTCTTTCAAATCCAGTCCTATTTGTCCTGCTGCTACTGCCACAGCCCAGAGCTTGTGGCAACCTCGCCTACACCTGGCACCCCACCTAAACACTCTGCCCGCCCCCCCACCTAAACACTATGCTCTCCCAGGCCTCAAGGTCAATTGTTCCTTTTACTCTCTGCCCCTTTCCCCTCATTTGACTAATTACCACCTGACTGTCAGTGCTTATTAAGCTCAGGCATCACCTTCTACCAGAAGCCCTCCCTGCTTTCCTCTCAAGTTAACGTTCTCATAAGCCCTCTGTAGATCCCTGGTGCCTCCTGTTTCAGAGGACAATCCCCTCTCTGTAATTTAAGAGGGTGTCTCTCCTCTTGCCCGACCCATGGGAGATCCTCAAGGGCTCCGGCCAGTCTGGTTCGTCACCATGTCCTCAGCACCCAGCCCCAGATGGCCAGGCACAGGCCCTTAGGAAACACTGCGTTGGGCTGGCCTCATCATTGCTGTGATGGAGGTTTTGGGGGTTTAACAGCCCAGACCAGTGTTTCCCAGCTGTATGACCCAGGGCTCTTTGAGCCTCATTTTCTCTATGTGTAGAACGGGTATAATACTCCCAACCTCTCAGAGTTATGAGGATTCAGAGAGGCTTCCATGTATGTAATGTGCTCAGCACATGGGAAGTTTGGGGGTGGGTGGGCCCCTTCCCTGGTGTGGTCTCAGCCCTGGGCTTAGCAACAGCCTCTGTAAGCAAGGAGCCCCCTCAGGCCCTCCAGGGAAGGAAAGCTGATGTCCTCTGGTGATCCCTGGGCCCCCACCCCTGGTCCTGAGAGCCCCCCAGAGGTGAGGGAGGCAGTAGGCAGAGTGGATCGAGTCCTAAACTTGAAGCTACATACCTGAATTTGAGACCTGGCTCCATCTTTCACTTTGTGATCCAGGGCAAGTCTCCTCCCTTCCGTGAACCTCAGGTTCCTGATGTGGAAAAGGAGTGAATAACACGTACCAGCCTAAGACTCAAAATCACGTGTGCAAAGAGCCAAGCTCTTGGTAGGCGCTCAATTATTATATCCCCAAGGCAATCTCCTGCCCTTCTCCTGATTCCTCCTGTGACTTAGGATGTGTGTCTAGGGGGCACCCCACACAGAGGCCATGACCACTCCAGGCTGTGAAGAGGAGCCTCCCCATTCTAAATGGTTGCCTGGGGTCTGGCTTGGGCACCTGCGGCCTGGGTTAGTGCTGAACTCTAGATGGCTCTGGGCACCCAAAAGGGTCCAAATGCTGGTGACCCCACCAGAGGCCAACCTGTGAGTGGCCAGCCAGTCTCCTAGGAGATGTCTGTGGAGTCCTCCAAATGGAGATCAGTGCAGCTTAGGGGAACAGAGGCCCATCCCTCAGCCCCCACCCAGATCCCCATTCATGCGTTCAATCATTCTCCCACTTGCTATATTTACAGAAAGTTGCACACAGCCTGCCTAGTAAAGTAAAAACTGGTTGTAGTTCAGTCAGTTTTGACTCATGGAGTCCCCATGTGTGTCAGAGTAGAACTGTGCTCCATAGGGTTTTTTTAAAAATATTTTTTTATTGTACTTTAGATGAAGGTTTACAGAACAAATAGTTTCTCATTAAACAGTCAGTACACATATTGTTTTATGACATTGGTTAACAGCCCCACAACATGTCAACACTCTCCCTTCTCAACGTTGGAGGACCTTTTTTTTTGGTGAAAATATACATAGTCAAAGTTACACCATTTCAAACATTTCTACATGTACAATTCAGTGACATCGATTACATTCTTCCAGTTGTGCTGCTATTCTCATATCCTTTTCCAAATTATTCCATCACTATTATCTTTAACTCACTGCCCCCTAGGTTCCCATCAAAACTTTTGAGCTGCTGTTATCAATTTGATCTCATCCATAGTGTTTTTAATGGCTGATTTTTCAGAAGGAGATCACTAGGCTTTTCTTCTGAGGCACCTCTGGGTGGACTCGAATCTCCAGCCTTTTGGTTTAGCAGCTAAGCATGTTAACCATTTGCACCACCCAGGAACTCCACAGGAGGAACTGGCACAGGAAAATTCTAGAATCTCAGGAAGCCCAGAGTGGGTGGTACTCAATAAATAAATGTTGGAAAATTAATTTATTCCACACATTCGATAAACATTTATTGAGCACCTACTGCATGTCAGGCTTTGTACTAAGGGATGGTGTACAGACTGACCCTGACAGCCTCCTCCCAAGCCCACCCGGGGCACCTCTAACTCCTCCCAGCTCTTCCCATCATGGACCCGGCTCCCACTGGCTGCCAGGCTCCAGGACTTTTCCCAGAATCTAGATAATGCCAAACACTCCATGCATCATGGGGCATGGGAAGGCTGTACTCCCACAGCCACAACTCTTCAAGCCCTTCCTGTTTGTCCTTCATGCCTCATCCATCTCAAACCCTCAGACACAGCCATCTCACCCCCTCCCAATGCCCTAAATTTACCAAAGGTTATACCCAGAGGGACCAGCAGGTGGCACTGAGGCTCCCGTTTTCCCAGTGCTGGACTGGACTCCAGACCGCACCAGGACCTTTCCCTCCCCTTTTCTCCCCAGCAAGGGCAGAGATGGACTCTGTGACCTCTATCTGAACTCTCTCCTTCCTGGTGGTTCCTGAAGAGGCTCTAGTTGCCCTGCAAGGCCCCCCTTGTCTTTTCCTGCCTGGTGAGTGAGTTGGGGGGGGCGGTCCCCAGGGGCCAAGCTACAGCTGGTGGGGCGGGGCCGGGTGGGGTGGAGCAGACAGCAGCTGCAGGGAGAAAGAAACAGAGAGAAGAGAGAAAACAGAGAGAGAGGTGCTCTGGAGTTCCCCACTCCTATCCCAAACAGGTTGAGGTCCCAGCTGAGGCTCACCCCCAGGACAAGGTATGTGACTGAGGAAACAGATATGGGGGGCAGGGGGTGGTGTCAGCCTGTGCAGCCAGGCCAACCTGGGGATACTGAGGGGCTGGGCAGTTAAAGTCCACTGCTCAACGAGAACTCCTGGGCCCCTCCCATCCTACCCCTCCCAAAGTGACCAAGTAGAACCTTGGGAGCAGTGGAAGGAGTCCTGGGGTGGGTATTAGGAGATGAGGGTTCTATTGCTGCTCTTGACCCACTGTGTGAATTGGCATCAGGCTCTTCCCATCTCTGCACCTCAGTTTCTTAATCTGTAAAACTGCAGGGAGGAGATGTTGAAGATGTAAGGTTCTGTGGGATAACTCTGCAAGGGGTCCCCCTTCCAAAGAAGATTAGCCCTTCCAGGGGCTTCTGGAAGACCACAAGGCCTTTAAGACCGAAAGGAATGCCCCACTAATAGTGAAATTCCAGACTCTGTGTGTGTGGTGGGGGGCGAGGGGGATCATTCGTAAAGATGGGTGCCCCTGACATTGCAGGCCTAGCCCATGCCTCTCTTCTCAACTTTGTTTTCCTAACTGGGACTTGGGGTGGAGAGTATCACAGGGTGGGGCAGGGGCTCCCGTACAGCTGCCTGGTGTTCTGAAGATCCTCTCATTAGGGAAAGGGTGGTTGTGGGCCAAGGGCACCTCTCTGCTACTCCAAGATGAGAAAAGGAGTGGATTGGGCAGGAGGGTGCCTGGGGGCAGAGGTAGGGTCAGTGGTGAGCATACAGATGTTCCCAAGGCAATGAGGGAAGGGGGGTGGTCCAAGAGCTTTATTACCTGTGGCTACCTGCCAAGACTCCGGAGTCCTCTGCACTTTAGAGCCCTTAGTGCAGAAGCTGCTCACAATGCTCAGCCAGGCCAGAATGAGGTGTGGCCAGCCAGGTAGGGGAGGGAACCCCTGGAGCTACTCACCCTCACCCTGCCTTCAGGACGAAATCGTTCCAGATTGTTGTTAGGCTGGGGAGGAACTGGCACAGGTAAATTCTAGAATCTCAGGAAGCCCAGAGTGGGTGAAGTCACTCTGGGTGGGAAGACAGTCAAGCATGGGCCTGGGAGTCAGACTGGCCTGAGTTCAAATCTTGGCTGTGCTGGGGGTCCTTGGGAAAGCCAAGTAACCCCTCCAAGCTGCAGTCTCTTCCTGGGTAAAATGCAAACAGTAGAGCACAACCTTACAGGGCTGCAGTGAGGATTAACTGACATACTGCAAGAAAAGCCCTTCACACAGTATCTGACACCTACTAGATGCTATTATTCTCATTATGGATGAAAAAGGAGACCCAAAGAAGGGGAAGGACTGGCCTGAGGTCACTGAACTAGATTCTCCACTGAGTCAGGGCATCCTCATCTCGGCCCTGTGGTAAACAGTGATTGAGCACCTACTGTATGCACCCCAGCACCTACTGAGCAACCCGATAGTCACCTTATCCCTACTGTGGTAAACTCCCCTCTACTTCTGCTCCAGGCAGCCAGGCCTCAGGTCTAGGGTAGAAGTGAGGGCTGGGGTCCCCAGGCCGAGGGAGGGGAGGTTAGCTCTGGGGTGGAGTGTGGGCACAGTTGAGCATCTCCCTCTCACCCGGTAAACGGCAGAGATGCAGGGCCGGGTCAGGGTTGTGTGTAGGGTGGTCGCAGACCTGAAGACGAGAGAGGGTTTGGAAGGTTGGGACTGACCACGGTGGGGGCTCTAAGAACCCCGTTTAGGCTCCTGCGTAGGCGAGAGGGTGGGAGCCGCCAGTCCGTGAAGCCCCTTCGGGCACTGACCGCGGA